TGGTCTTAAAGCAAATTGCACTGTGATTATACAAGGCCCAGGCAACCTAGGATCACATGCCTCCGCCTGACGGTGAGGGCAGCTGGGAAAGAAAATACCTTGTGTTTTCAGCTTCTGTAGCGGATGGGTAGACAAGCTTTATCAAAAGGGATTTTCTCCAATTACAAGAAGGGGATTCAGACACTGGGCAGTCAAAATATCTCCAATATATGTTTCCTCCACCCTTTTTGAAAAAGTACAGAAAAATTTACAGAAAAACATAAAAATAAAATGTAATCCAATAACTCAGAAATAAAAAATTTATTAGAATTTAGATGTGTTTCTTCCACATGTCCTCTAATGAATATTTGACTTAACAAATGTTTCATGAGGTCAGGGATGTCATCTGATTTATCTGCCACTGACTTCATATTAATAAATGAATGCCTCAATGAATGGTTGTTTTGTAAATCTTCAACTAGTATTGCAATCATTTTTCATTATTAATAATGACCTTTATGCAATCAGTTTTAATGGCTAGGTAAGGTTTTATCCAATGAACGTAATATTACATTTCTAGTGAGCTGGGGTCCAAGAACGACACTGTTGGGAAATGAAGTGACCCTTGCTGCTCCTTGCCTCTTCTGCAGGCTTTGCTTTACTTTTTTTTTTTTTTTTTCTTTTTTGACATTATCTCAGTCTGTCATACAGGCTGGAATGCAGTGGTGTGATCTCGGCTCACTGCAACCTCCCCTCCTGGGTTCAAGTGATTCTTATGCCTCAGCCTCCAGAGTAGCTGGGAGTACAGGCATGTGTAACTATGGCCTGGCTAATTTTTCTGTTTTAGTAGAGATGGGGTTTCACCATGTTGGCCAGGCTGGTCTCGAACTCCTGGCCTCAAGTGATCCACCTGCCTTGGCCTCCCAAAGTGCTGGGATTTCAGGCATGAGCCACCGTGCCCAGCCATCTGCAGGCTTTTCAAACCTGCCTGAAAGTGACAGCATTCACTACTTGCCTGTTATCATAAATCTTGATTCTCCCGCAAACCAAAGTGGTCTGAGGAAGCAAAGGCTAATTATTTACAATGGATCAGGGCATTGAACACTTAAGTCTTTTGTGACGGAAGTAGAAATTCAATTAATAAAACCTTTTTATTGTTCTTGGCTTGTTTGTGACCCTCCTGAGTTTCTGGTGAAGAAGCAGGACACAGATGCAAATACAATGATGATGTGTTGATCAACTCATGCATAGACATTGTTCTAAGTGCTTCACGTGTGTTATCTCATTGAGTTTTCACAACAACCCTATGAAGTATTATCCCTCGAGGTATAGAGGAGGTTTCACATTGCTGGTGTAATCCCAGAGTCTGACTCATCAACTTCATTCTAGTGTGACTCATTGACATCATTCTAGCTGTGGTCTCAAATGAGTTTATTCAAGTGCATTTTTGGCAAAAAAGGACGTGAATAAATAGTACCAAGAAATGGGTGGGGTTTTTTTTCTCTTAAAATGATGGCAGGGGCCAGGCACGGTGGTGGCTCATGCCTGTAATCCCAGCACTTTGGGAGGCCGAGGCGGGTGGATCACGAGGTCCAGAGATGGAGACCGTCCTGGCCAACATGGTGAAACCCTGTCTCTACTAAAAATACAAAAATTAGCTGGGCATGGTGGTGCGCACCTGTAGTCCCAGCTACTTGGGAGGCTGAGGCAGGAGAATTGCTTGAACCTGGGAGGTGAGGTTGCAGTGAGCTGAGATCACACCACTGCACTGCAGCCTGGTGACAGAGCTAGACTCTGTCTCAAAAATAAATACATAAATAAAAAATAAATAAATAAATAAAATGATGGCAGGAAGTATAACTCCTTTTGGGAACCATAGAAGCCCCTAGCTATTTAGAACAGGTTGAAAGACCTTTAATGATTTCTTTGGGAGAAGAGCTTCTTGGCAATTCAGGAAGACAGGTTAGTAACTTGGGGTTTACAGAGAATCTGTTTGCCCTGTTCTTTCTTCTTTGGCTCTAGAAACCAAAACAGGGCACCTCCTGAACCGGAATGAGAGAAGTACTCTCTGACTCATTCCACTGACTCTTGCCTCAATCCTCCTTTGACCTGGGCTTCTTATCTGATCAGGAGAGAGGAATATCTCATAACAAACCTCCATTTAATTGACTCCCCAAATTAATGAACACTTTTCACATCCTCCCAAGAACACACACTAACACAGCAAGTTGAATGCTCATAGCTAGTCAATGACTCTCCCATGCACCCGTGCACCCACCTGCTGATTTTACCTGCTGCGCTTACCAAGAGTCAGTTCCATTAGCTCCCAAACCTCTTTCTGCCATTTATACTTATTGTTGTAACTAATTCATTTAATTATTAGGTGAACCACTTTATTTAACAAATTGAACATCTACAATATGCAAGGCAATGTTCTTCATGCTTGGAATAAATCAGTGAACAAGAAAACAAAGATCCCCTTTTTCATGTGACTTATATTCTATGCAAAAAGATATAATAATCTACTTCATAGAGAATTAAGTTGAATGCTTTGGTAAGACCCAACACATGTAAGTTGCTTAAAATTTTTGCTTAATTTGGTGTGGTTGAGACAACTGTAAAAAGATTGAGAAAAATATTGCAAGGCTCTGGAAGGATTCCACACGCAGGATACTTCACAAGTGTCTTTAAATTCTTGTTCTATTTTAAAGAAATCATAACTAGAAATATACAGGCATGATTTATACAAGAAAAACAACGAAGAAATCCAATGAGCAAATCCAAAGGAAGGCCTTGGACTTACATCAAAAAATTTTTTTTTACTTGTTTTACATTAAAATGAAATGTTTAAGGTTAAATATTTATCTTTTTTTTCTTTTTAAAAATGAATTTTCACTGTAAGTGGCTTTTTTGATTGACAGTCGACAACTAGTCCCAATAGAGCTGGATGAGAGTTTCTACTCTATTTTTCTTTTCTCTTTTTCTGTTTTACTTCTGAGACAGGGTCTTGCTCTTTTGCCCAGGCTGGAGTGCAGTTGCATGATCACGGTTTACCATAGCCTCCACCTCCTGGGCTCAAGTGATCCTCCTACCTCAGCCTCCCGAATAGCTGGGACTACAGGTGCATGCCACCATGCCCTGGCTATTTAAAAAAAATTTTTTTTATAAAGACGGGGTCTCACTATGTTGCCTCGGTTGGTTTCGAACTCCTGGCCTCAAGGGATATTCTCACTTTGGCCTCTTGAAGTGCAGGATTACAAGCATGCACTACTGTGGCTGGTCTTACTCTTATTTTTCAAGGACTGCTGGAATCGGAATCACCAGAGAGCTGCAGCCCTGAATTGGAAGTTCTAGGGTGGGCCCAGAACAAACTCTCTAGGGATCAACTCAGGAGAGTTCTTCTGACTATCAGGGCAAACTTCCTGAGTCCTTGGTCTGGACCTTCAACCTGGAGGGTTAAGGCTCAAGGTACCATTTGGTGGGAAGGCCCTATCCTGTCTCCAGACGGAAAAACATTTTAGGGGGTCTTATTTTGACTTGTGTCATAGCAGAAACTTAGTATTACAAGAAAGGAAGTTGGCCGGGTGCCATGGCTCACGCCTGTAATCCCAGCACTTTGGGAGGCTGAGGTGGGCAGATCACGAGGTTAGGAGTTCGAGACCAGCCTGGGCAACATGGTGAAACCCCTTCTCTGCTAAAAATACAAAAATTAGCTGGGCTTGCCTGTAATCCCAGCTACTCAGAAGGCTGAGGCAGGAGAATGAATTGAGCCCAGGAGGCGGAGGTTGCAGTGAGCTGAGATTGTGCCACTGTACTCCAGTCTGTGTGACAGAGCAAGGCTCTGTTTAAAAAAAAAAAAAAAAAAAGAAATGAAGTCAACATGTAATTCTTTGTGCCCAAAGTAGATATTCCAAGGAGATGAAGAAAGGACCTTGTTCTTGAGCAGTTTATAATCTTGAGAAAAACTCATTACAAATTACTAGGTTATATTACTAGACAGCAGACAGTATTATTAGTAGCAAAATCATATGCAATGCATCCTCTAGAATGGTGAGAGTCTTGTGGTCCCAGGTTGCCCAGGACTAAAGGGTTGACTGCTACACAGGGCTTTCAGTATTAAACTGAGATAGTCCCAGGCAAACACGATGGTTGGTCACCATGGAGAAGGATCGATTTGCGTGCAAGCACAGCTGGAGAAGGCTTTGTAGAGGAGGGAGACATCTGAGTGGGCGTTCAAGTCTAGAAGAATGTAAAGCAGCCGGGAGCTAGGAGGGGAGAGGGAGAACTGTAATTTGAATGCATGAGCAGCCTCAGAGATTCCCAGCACTATTCGTTTAAATCCAGGTATTTAAAACCCAGTGTGTTTTTAGCGATCCCTTGGCATGTTGCTACAAGAAGTATGACAGAGCTAAGTGGTTCTGCAAGCAGAAGTGGTAACAGTTCATACGCACACCCACCTCTGAGTACAGGTTAATTAGCTTGTGTTGGCAGAGCCTTTGAGTGTGTGCAGCACGCCCTAAAACCCAGATATTATTAGCCAGTTAGCAACACCTTAAAAAATACCACATTGCTGCAGTCCCTTCAGCTCTTGTTTCTTCCCAATCTCTCTGAAATAGCTGGATGCCTGCAGATTTCAGCATGAGCTTCTCACTGGTACTGAAGTGGACACAGTGCCCGACACCTGCGTGAATGTGATTACAAACCAACCCCGAGCCTGGGCTGTTATTGCTCTGCTACGGGACCAATTTCCAAACAGTATGCTGTTGCATTCCTGTTAGAACAGGTTGCGTTTATCCTCTCTGCCTCTTCTCTTGTTGGCCTGTTCATAGACATGGTTTCTACACACACACACACACCCCTTTTATATGCCATACATGTGATATCATAGACCATATGCTATTACATCATACATCTGATAATGAGAGATATGCTAATGTCACTGAATGACCACAAACCCTGGACCACAAACCCTGCTCTTGTCTGAGCTCAGGCTGAGTTGTATGTCCCTTGGGTGGGGCAGAAGAGGGCAGGGCTTCAGCACAGGTGCCTTCCTCCCTGTCCAGAGCTGCTGCCGCAGGAGTTAGGGGGTGAGTTGGGCCCCACCTTGGAGCCTGCTTCCTATTCACAGGCAGCTTCAAGCTTAGCCAGGCAGAATGACCGTGGTAATGGCTGAACTCTCAAAAGCATGTAAGTGTGGATATGTGTGTGTGTGTGTGTAATGGGTGTATATGTGTATATATGTATGCATATGAGTTTGGGGGCATAAGTGCTGTATGTATGTGTTTGGAGAGGGTATGTGTGTGCGTACAGGTGTGTGTGCGGGAATGGAATGGAATGTGTATAATGTGTTCATGTGATCCCAAGAGTTGACAGTTGTGCTCTGAGCCCCAGGAGATGCAGAAGTTTGTCAGCCCTCAGATGTGGGTGCAGAAGACATTCCTGGTTCCCTGTTCTGGCAAGAGAGTAGGTGACAGCCCTGCAGGGGGACTGGAGAACGGGGAGTCTGGGAGTCCGAGGTATGGAGCACAGGAAGGGCGGGAGGCGGGTTTCCAGGCCTGGGCGAGCCTCCCATCCTCACCCCTCTCCCAGTTACAGTGAGAGGCAGAGGGAGAGACGGGCTGATTTTGCTGCTAGCAGTAATCAGTCTCGGACCTGCTGACAGTCTGCGGAGCTGCTATAAGCAACTCCCCGGCCATTGTTGCTGAGCAGTGACACACGGATCGGATGGGATCCTTCCTACGCTTTGTGGCTCCACCCTTGGCTGGGGTCTCCTGAATAAGAAAGCACACGCCCAGTCAGGTCCGCCTCAGTCCTGCTCATGGGGGGCCTGCCAATTCCAGAGCTTCCCTGGATGAGGCTGCCCCTCCGCCAGCCCACCACGCAGGTAGGATGGAGTGAGCAGGCAGCAGAGCCGATTTTCCTCAGAGCTTTTATAAAGCATGAGTAAAAACAAGCTCAGAATGTTATTTCTATTCTCTTACTCCACAACAATCAACATAGAAGACTTCTGAGACCAAATATGTGTGGGTTTCCCCCACACTCCAAGCAAGCAATCAGTCTGCAGCGGACACCAGCTGGCTGTACTCCAGTTCAATGCCGTCTACCTGGAGCTAGCATCAGATCCCACAGGGGCAGGGGCTCAGTACCCCAAGGTTGTCCCCCTCTTCTGATGCCAATCATAAGCCCTTGGTTATTTTGCCTGTGCTTGTGACTCACCGGCTATAAATTGGGGTTCCCACAATCTCCTCCTTTGCTTCGATTAATTTGCTAGAGCTGCTCACAGACCTCAGGAAATACATTTCCCAGTTTATTACAAAGGATGTTTAAAAAGATACAAATAAGGCTGGGCGTGGTGGCTCACACCTGTAATCCCAGCACTTTGGGAGGCTGAGGGTGGCGGATCACCTGAGGTCAGGAGTTCGAGACCAACCTGGCCAAATGGTGAAACCATGTCTCTACTAAAAACACAAAAATTAACCAGGCGTGATGGCGGGTGCCTGTAATCCCAGCTACTCGGGAGGCTGAGGCAGGATAATTGCTTGAACCCCAGGAGGCAGACGTTGCAGTGAGCCAAGATTGCGCCACTGCACTCCAGCCTGGGCGACAGACTGATACTCCATCTCAAGAAACAACAACAAAAATAAACACTCAGATGAAGAGATACACGGGGGAAGGTCTGGAGGAGTCCTGAGCCCAGAGCTTCTGTCCCTGTGGAGTTGGGGTACGCCACGGTCCAGGCACATGGATGTATAAGCCCCATGTGTTTGGCTATCTGCTGGCTCTCTGAACCCAGTCCTTTCGGGTTTTTATGTAGGCTTCATTATGCAGGCATGATTGATGACATCACTGGGCATTGGTGAACAACTTAACCTTCAACCCCTCTCCCCTCCACTGAGGTTGGGAAGGGGGCCGAAAGTCCCAACCCGCTAATCCTGCCTTGGTCTTTCTGGTGACCAGCCCTCATCCCAAAGTTACCTAGGGGCTGCCAGATATCAGTCAAATCATTTGCATACAGAAGACATCACTTTGGAGGGTCTGAGGATTTTAGGAATTATATGCCAGGAAAGAAGATGAAAACCAAACATGTTTCACAATGTCATAGGATTCCAGAAATGGAGGCTACTCTTGCAGGACTGCTCTACACGAAAAATCCTTGTAAAATCAATATGGCAGTACAATACACACTAGCCATTTACTATTTGGTAGTGGAGTGAGGGGTGGAGTCTTACCAAGCAAAGCAGAGGTTTAAAAACTCAGACAGATGGAGACATTTGAGCCCTGGAGTCTGAATGTCAAAGATTCCTGGAAATTACAGATTCTTGGGGTTTGTCTCCTGACAGGTTTAGACAAGAGTTCCTTGGCCTCTGGGTGTCCCCCCAACCCCCATCCCAACAGTGGTGCCCTCATAAATTATTGCACAACTGACCCAGTGTGGTCTTAAGAAAAGGGGAAGATGTGTAAATAGGGGTTAAGGGCTATTTGCAGGGAACAATCTCCTCCCTCATATTACATCTTTTAAATTGATTCACCAAAGGCCAGCATGGCTTGTGACCCTGTGCCTGCAGGCTCACATGTACACATTTTCCAAATGACAAAGTGCTTGCTGCCTCCCAACAGGATTTCAGACAAGTCAACCTCAGGTCATGGGTTTTTTTTTTTTTTTTTACCCCCTTAGAAATGATGGGTTCCCTTGGTCTTCGGTGAGCCCCGTTAGTGCTGATAACCATCTGCTTATTCTTCCTTTTTTCTCTCGGTCTTTCATTCCTTTCTTTGACTTGTGTTGACAAAGCACCTAGGAATAATTCTTTCGAAAAAATTGTTTTACTCTTACTGTAGTCAGCAAAGTTCACTTTATATTTTCTCAATGTTTATTTTAAAAGTAGAAATTTCTCCAGGCACAGTGGCTCATGCCTGTAATCCCAGCACTTTGGGAGGCCGAGGCAGGTGGATCACTTGAGGTAAGGAGTTTGAGACCAGCCTGGCCAACAGGGTGAAGCCCCATGTCTACTAAAAATACAAAACTTAGCCAGGCGTAGGAGCGGGCGCCTGTAGTCCCAGGTACTTGAGAGGCTGAAGCAGGAGAATCACTTGAACCTGCGAGGCAGAGGTTGCAGTGAGTCGAGATTGCACCACTGCACTCCAGCCTGGGTGACAGAGTGAGACTCAGTCTCAAAACAAAAAACAAACAAACAAAAAAAGTAGAGATTTCTCATATTGGTCTTTCTTAAAAGCATTACTTACATTATAGATCAGAGTGATGCACTAGAACTTTTCAAAATGATGGGAATGTCCTGTATCTGCACCGTCCTATTGAACTAGCCACCAGCCATCTGTAGTGCTTGAACACTTCAAATGTGACTAGTGTGATTGAGAAACCACGTTTTTTTTTTTTTTTTTTTTTTTCTTTTTCCATAGTGATTTCTCACTCCCCCCCCCCCCCCCCCCCCCCCCCCCCCCCCCCCTGCTATTTTTGTTTTTTTAGTAGACTTCACTGTTACCAAATCTTTCTATGTGACCCATCTGCTCCAGTGTGGATGCTGAGACCGACCACTTTTCAATTTTACTTAATTCTAATCAATTAAAATGTAAATAGCCGCACGTGGCTAGTGGTTGCAGTAGCTAACCGTGTAGGTAGGAACAAGTACGGATCTCCAAGGTGCTCCTCCTCCTAATCCCAGCAAATTCAGATTGCCTTTTCCTTGAGCAGTCCAGGTACACTCCTTCATCCCTCTCTCGGCCCCCTTGGCATGAGAGGAAGCACGCAAACACTCAGCTTTTTGCCCTTCTGTTTATACAGCTCTCAGAGTCCTTCACACAGTAAGTAAGAGATTGGGTTGGGAAAAGCTTGCTGAAATGTCAGTAATATGGATGAGAATATTTCAGTTCTTCACCAAGCATTTTCTTTCTTGACACAACAGGTTTACCTGCTTATGCGTAAAGGAAAGCAATGGTTAAACCCTGAAATGAAATGCCTGGGTCCCAGGTGACTCATAGTTCTATTTCAATTTAATGCATGTTTAAATGAATGTGAGTTATTAGAGTTATGTATGCTTGAAGGTACTATATGATGAACATTTTGGGAGAAAGTCTATGGGAATTACAGTTACATAACCGGAGAAGAATTTGAAGAGTCCCAGGTTTGCATGAAGAAGCTCAGGGCTGCATTTAAGCTTCCAACTAAGGCACTGTCTCTCTAAGACATTGCTGGAATCTCACTGTAATTGGGTGATTGATTGTTGGCAAAGACCTAGGATGAGGGAGACAATTAGGAAGCATCTGTTTATACAAAGAGGACAAAGGGACAAGGCATTTCAGGGTAGAAAAAAAACTCAGACTTTTTAGCAAAAGTCAAAGGCAATGGTGAAACCCTGAAAGCAGGAGGTGGCTGGAAATATAGTGCAGACAATGGTGTACACCTGGAAAGGATCTACGAACCCAAGAGAGCTCATCAGTGTCAGAAAACAAGATCAATGAGGCCTACCTGAGCATGGGTGTCAGACAGAGACTATGTATGGGAATGATTCCCAGACTTGGAGAAGAGTTCTTGGTTAAAACAGTAGGAGGTAGCCCTTTATTTATTTTTCTTTCTTTTTTTTTTTTTGAGACAGAGTCTCGTGCTGTTGCCCAGGCTGGAGTGCAGTGGTGTGATCTTGGCTCACTGCAACCTCTGCCTCCTGGGTTCAAGTGATTCTCCTGCCTCAGCCTCCTGAGTAGCTGGGACTACAGGCACCCATCACCACGCCCAGCTAATTTTTGTATTTTTAGTAGAGATGGGGTTTCACCATATTGGTCAGGCTGGGGTTGAACTCCTGACCTTGTGATCGACCTGCCTTGACCTCCCAAACTGCTGGGATTAAGGCGTTGAGCCACTGCTCTCGGCCTTCTTCTTCTTCTTCTTTTTTAATTGAGACAGAGTCTTGCTTTGTCACCCGGGCTGGAGTGCAGTGGCACGATCTCCGCTCACAGCAACCTCCACCTCCCAGGTTCAAGCAATTCTCCTGCCTCAGCCTCCCAAGTAGCTGGGATAACAAGTGTGCACCACCACGCCCGGCTAATTTTTGTATTTTTAGTAGAGATGGGGTTTCACCATGTTGGCCAGGCTGATCTAAAACTCCTGACCTCAAGTGATTCACCGGCCTTGGCCTCCCTAAGTGCTGAGATTACAGGCGTGAACCACTGCACCTAACCCCCTTTGTTTCTTTTTCTATCCAGCTGTGTTCATCTGCCTTGGCTACCTTAACAAAATAGCATACACTGGGTGGCTTAAACAACAGAAATTTATTTTTAAACAGCTCTGGAGGCTGAGATGTCCAAGATCAAGGTCAGCTCCTGATTCAGTTCCTGATGAGGGCCCACTTCCTGGCTTGCGGAGGGCTGCCTCCTAACCATGTCCTTAAATTGCGGAGAGGGAGAGAGGGTGAGCTCTGGTCTCTTCTTCCCAGCCTCATCACCTCATCTAAACCTAATTACCTCCCAAAGACCCCGCCATTTCCAAATACCATCACATTGGGGGTTAGGGCTTCAACATGTGAATTTGGGTGGGGGACAGACATTCAGTCCACAATACCAACCATGCAATTAATATTTATTGAGCGCCTACTATGTGCTAGGGTTGTATCAGAGTAAAACACCTTGTCTTCCTCTAGAAACTCATTACAAACAACCACAACTCAAAGAAATAAGCAATAAAGTTCTGGAGTGCACAGAGGATAGGGGAAAACACTGCATGGGGACATAGAGAAGACTTCATGGGGAAGTGACATTTGAATGGGGTCTGGAAGGACAAGGGAGACACAGAGGGGGTGAGTCCAAGACAGAAAAGACAGTATGTACTAAATCAGGGAGAGGGTCAAGGCAATGTGTGTTGAGGTCAGTGTTGATACATTGGGTTGTGGGATTAGAAATGATGGACGGGGTAGGATAGGTAGGCAGGAGATGACATACAGAGGCAGGCTGGGGTGGGGAAGAAGGGTTAAATGTGTCATATTAAGGAATTTGAACCTGATCCCAAAGGAAATGGAGAGTCTGAGGGCTCTGGAAATGTTTTAGCTAGGAAAGTGTGCTGATTTATGTGTGGGAAGCTAGTGGGCATTGTATTAGTTTGCTGGGGCTACCATTGAAAAGTACCACAGACTGGGTGGCTGAACGGAAACTTGTTTTCTCAGTCCTGGAAGTTACAGGTACGAGACTGAGGTGTCAGCAGGGTGGGTTCCTTCTGAGGCCTCTGTCCCGGGCTGGTCG